CACTGTTTTAAGGAACATTTATTCAAGTGTTTTCACAACCTGTAGAATTATCTAGTCATATTCTAAACAAGATAAAAATATTTACTATAGAGTGTATAGACGTTGGATGTGAATATCAGAGTTATGTAATTATTTAAATTGCCATCCAGTGTTATCTCAGAGACTGGGAGCATTTGATTTTCCTTCTTAAACATTGTTTTAGTAAATTGCGTATTCTCGTCACTGTACTGTTTAGCCGCTGCACTCAGGTTGCTGTGGAAGAGGAGCTCTTTAAGCTTTGAGTACTCCATTTTTGATTAAACATGTAGATCTATTTAAGCAGGCCCTTTGTTCACCTGTGCTACTGAAGTGACACTGGAGAATTGTTCCTTGCAGACACGGATCCAAAACGGCGCCCTATATTTCACATACCCTGTGGGATCCTATAAAGCCATGTAACTTTCTGTAAGACTTTCAGTTTCTAAAGACACTGAGTGGTATCTGATTGCGACATACAGACATTACTTCTGTGTAAGATGGCTTTCCTTTTTCTCCACCCCTAAGTCAATCATTAGTGACACTTTGGTGTCCATGCTGGATATGCCTAATCATTTTGTATAAATACCTAAAGCTCCAAATATAGTGGCTTTAATGTATTACAGCAACATTGGGGTGCTAAAATGTGTCCTTGGATAGATGGAAATTGGGCATATCTAGGAGGCTGATATAGCGTAATTGGTCTCAGAGGGATTAAGATAGGGCTGATAAAGAAACAGTAGCAATAGAATTAGTCTTTATTATCCTATTGAGAATAGTGGTGGTGACCTACAGCCATAATACACAAAGAGCCTGACTGTTATTACCCCTACGAGGCTGAACTTGAACTGTAATTGGGTTAGCACCCTGAGAACAATGACTTTTGACACTCCCTTTAATATTTCTGGTTTTAGGCTGCATGCTTTGATATTTCTTTGAAAATACATAGATCAAAATATATTAATGGTTTATCTACTATATTTGAAAACTATGTTAATTTTATAATTCTTTACAAATATATCGAAATCACTTCATTAGCTTTTAGTATCTCTGAAGCATATGAAAAGGCTCTTAAGTGGTCACACCTTTTTGGCATTTTATATTAAAAGCTATAACATACAGATCTTTTTAAAAAGGTATAAAACATGAGAAAAAACTATGATTTAAAAAAAGAATATCTTCTGGTTCACATTAGCTGTCCTTGCTGTTGCCAGTGTTATACTTTAGATACTGATAGGTGAAAACTCGATAGCTCTCTGATTCAGCAAACATATTTTTATGAAAATCCGTACCTAGTGGTAGAAACTAAAACTTAACATAAAACAATAAAGATAGCAAACTTGACTTTGTCTTGACATTTTCCTTTAGCATGGTTACAAATATAGTAGCTACTGTCATTGCAAAATATTGGCTAGTTGTTAAAAAGAATTTCAAAATAACTTGCTTGCTTTCAGAGGGCTAGAGAGACATTTTAAAAAAGGTAATGCTAAGGGAGCCAGCCTGTAGTCCCAGGACTCAGGTGGCAGAGGTAGGAAAATTGCTGCAAGCTAGTGGACAGTCAGAACTATGTAGGAAAATCTTTTCTATACACACACACACACACACACACACACACACACACACACACCTAACATTGAGTGAAAGTCTTGAATATAATCATCTTATTTTGGTGTTGATGTTTCATGTCTGACTTTATCTGACATTGTCTAAGGACTTCACACCCCTTTCACTGGAGACTTTATTTCTAATGAAGCCCTTATATGCGGGGTTTCATCCCAGTTTCCCCAGTACTGACAATCAAAGGTCTTATACCTGTTAGGCAAGTGCTCTCCAGCCCACTGTGTTTAAATTTAGAATCTAATGATAAAATTGCTCTGAATTGAAATCACGTTCCTTTTGAGAGGGAGTTACTGCTAGTTTCATGGATGGGTTGTTTATTTAAAAAAAAAAAGCACTGAAATTGTAATTCAAGCTGTCATGCTAGACCATAATATTCAACTGAACATGTTTGTGTCAACACTTAAGATTGTCTTCAGGATAAAGTGGCTCTGATTTTTTCATGCCTTCTACAAAATGCTGACAAAATGGATCAGTTTCTGTTTTGATTCAAATTGTCCTTATGAACTGTGAATGCAGGGGGCCATTAATCTTAGAGCCTCATTGTGCTGCCTAGTTTTGTATCAACTTGATACAAGATGATTGAGTCATCTGAAGGAGGGAGCCTCAATAGAGAAAATGCCTCCCATAAGATCTGGCTGTAGGGCACTTTCTTAACTAGTGATTGATGAGGGAAGACCCAGTCCATGTGGGCTGGGTCATCCCTGGGCTGATGGTCTTGGGTTCTATAAGAAAGCAGGCTGAGCAAGCCATGAGGAGCAAACCAGTAAGCAGCACCCCTCCATGGCCTCTGCTCCATCACCTTCTACCACCAAGATCCTGCACTATTTGATTTCCTGGCCGGGCTTCCTTCAGTCAAGGGCTACAATGTGGAAGTGTAAGCCAAATGAATCCTTTCTTCCCCAACTTGCTTTGGTCAGAGGGTTTCCTTGCTGTGATGAAAGACCAACTTGTAATCGCTGTTCTTGCTAACTGTCCTTTGAGAACAGCCGACAGTCTACCCGTCACCATCTGAAAGGCCATCCCACCCTTGCTCAGAGGTAGTCATGGAGAAACTGGGAGACCAAGTTAGCATTTTTCTATGACAGCAAGAGTTCTTAAAAGCCTGTGCCTGAAATGAGAGTGTTTCAATTCAAATCTGCATCCTGCCTTTATGACTTTGGACCATTGCTGCTTTGCAAAATGGTACCACATTGGTAGTAGTGCTGTAGCATTGTTAGAAAGATTTGAGTATATTAAATCATACAAAAATACATAGCAAAATAAACTTATAACATTTCATTCATATGTATATTGATGCCTGAGAATTCCATATTTTACATATCTGTCAGTGACAATTCTGTCAGTGATTCCACTGGTCCCCCCCCCAAAAAAAAACAAAAAACAACAACAACAAAAAACCTTTATGACACTTTTTTTAATTGGTGGAGACTGAACATACAAAAGGGGAGGGAAAAGCAAACACTGCTTGTTCTGCATTGTCTTCATCTACGGTGGCTTCTGGAGTCCCCCAAGCTGTCCCTGTATGGCTGTCATCTGGACAGTGGGCTGCTCAGCGGCCACCCCCTGCTCCCACCTCTCTTTCTCCCTGTTGCTACTCCTTGCTCCTCTGGAGTGCTCCGGTAAGCGCCGTCACCTTCAGCTGTGCTTGTGTTCTGGTCTTCCTCTAATTTTGGCTGATTTCTCTTCGTGGTGTAAGGCTGGCCATTTATTGTTAATTGGTTATAAAGTGCACCCTGTTCTGAACTTCTCTGCCAGACAGGTGGTTTCTGAGCTAGCTTGTACAGCGTGGCAGTGTTAGAAAGTAAATATTTATTCTGCCAACTGATATTTTGGTTGAATATGATGAGTTTTTGTAACTTAGTTACCATTTCCTGTCACCTTTTCTGTTTCCTTTCTCATTCTTATTTTTTGACAGCTTGGTAACAGTATAGGACACGCTGTCTTTTTTTAACATGAGAATCATCATCTAAGGGCTTTCCCTGCACTTTCTGCATTGTACATAACTGGGTACATTTGACTTTAACTGGTAACGTACTAGCCTTTCTTTTATTAAATTAACATAATAAAATGCCTTAAATGTTGCCAAATTATTTAATCACTTTTAATACCACTTTTAAAAGGAATATAAGTTGATATTGTCACATCTTTTCAAGGGATATAATAAATCCACATCCAGCATTGTGGTTTCCAAATATGGCTGAAGCTAAACCATTGTAGTTTCTTCTGATAGCATTGGTTGATTATGGACTGGAAATGGGACAACATTTCTGATGATCAGCTCTAATCTCACTCTTTCATAGCTAGAGAAATAAACTTGCAGAGGCAGAGTACATGGGTGCAAGGTTTCTTCATCAGGGCTGCTTGCCGTCTCCCTCCCTTGTCTGCTTCATGTTACCTGACCCCACATCTGCCAGTTCCTAAGTTCCTACCCAGCCAGTCTCCTCACAGCATTTCCCTGGCTTTAGCCTTCTCTTAACAGTACCAAGTTCGGCCCACAGAGCTTATTGGTATCTCTGCCTTGAAGGACATGAAGAAAGTCAAGGATGTAATAGCTCACTAAGTGCTTGCTAATGTGCCTACCAGAAAGTTTTCGACATATCTAAATTATTCCTAACGACAACAGGTACAGGGCAAAAAGGTCTGAGTATGAAGATGCTGTATGCTATGACTGAGTAAGAAGATGTTGTATGCTATGACTGAATAAGAAGATGTTGTATGTTATGACTGAGTAAGAAGATGTTGTATGTTATGACTGAGTACGAAGATGTTGTATGCTATGACTGAGTACGAAGATGTTGTATGTTATGACTGAGTAAGAAGATGCTGTATGCTATGACTGAGTAAGAAGATGCTGTATGCTATGACTGAGTACGAAGATGCTGTATGCTGTTACAAGTAGACACCTAATTTGCCAAAGGTCATTGGAATTGAATAAAATCCAATATTCTAATTAATATGTCTGGAAAGGAAGGTATCTTAACCTATGGGGATTTTTCCCCCTGGTATATAGACAGATCTCAAGCCTCTTCTTTATAAAGTGGGAACATTTAAGTACTACTTCAAAGAGTTCAGAATTGGAGTCATATTTATACATTACCTTGCTGATAATTTATATAATAGAAAATAAACTAAGACTGCTAAAGTACACATTTTATACAAAATAATTCATTATAAATGTATCTAACACACACGTATTCTCATCTCCTTTTATGAAACCGTAGGCTTGCTGAAACTAATACACTAACACTTAGATCATGTGCTTGTGTACATATCCACAGTTAACTTAGAAGCCCTCTAGAGAACTATTCAGAATTGCTTTGTTCAAAATTAGGCGGCTGATTTTAAGTTTTGTTTTGTCTCTTCAGCTACGACAGCTAGTTAATATCTGCATCAACCCAGACCCGGAGAAGCGACCAGACATCACCTACGTGTATGACGTAGCAAAGAGGATGCATGCATGTACCGCGAGCAGCTAGACTGCAGAATCATGAAGAAGGCAACCAGAATAACTTAAAAGTATTTTTGTGCAAATCATACCTCCCTGTTTTTGTCTGGGTGTTACGATTAATATGTCAGAGCTCATGTGCTTTCAATCCTTAACCAGTTTTCAGATAAGCTTCCTTTTCTACCAGGCTCGATCTCCTCGCAAATCCACAAGACTTTGGGATGCTCAGATTTCATTCAGAGAGCAAGTACAACAAGAGTTTTTAAATGACTTAAGGTTTGACGTTTTCTGCTGAGAAATTGTGTTTGTAGATCACTAGTGCCAAATGGTGATAAACTTGTTGGCACACATCAGGAAGGCAGGGCCTGAGGAAAAGACCCGGGCGTTGACTTGTTTGCCTTAAGTCGCTATGGACATTGCAGTGGACACAATTGTGAACTTACATGATTTTTTTTTTAAGTTTGAAGTATGTGCTTTAGTTGTTAGCATTAGAGTTTTAAAATATAATTATGATAAATGCAGACAAACTATTTGAGAAACATAAAATTCTTAGTTTATACATTAAAATGCAACTATTAAATGTGAAAAGGTAGGGATAAAATGTGAGTCAGACACTGAAAGTTTTGTGTTTTAATACGTTTGAAAGCCTCTGCATTTAAATGCTATAAATAAATCCATTTTAAAAGTGGTTAAGGATTTGTTTGGCTGGTGTGAGAGTCATTTTTAAAGTTGCACATTGCCCAAGGCTTTGTGTGTTTTTATTGTACATTTGAAGAATATTCTTGGAATAATCGTGCAGTAACTATAATTCAATTTCTTTATAAATCTAAGTACATTTAACTCATAACTATACACTGTAATGTAAACATATGTTCTTATTCATAGATTGTATTGAAGTTTTGATCAATTCCCTCCAGAATTTTTTTATTCTTTGAGTTATTTATATTGTGTGTGCATTTTATCCATTAATGTTTCAGATTTTCTGAGAACATAATTAATTTCCTTTTTAAAAGCTATTTGGTATGCCAACACTTTTCTTAGATTTAAACTTTTTTTTTTTTATAAACTTTTGGGCCACTCTGTTTGCATGTGCTTTTATCTTGTTAGGAAGAACGATGTGTGTTACAATGTGCCTATGAATGTCGACAGTTCTGAGTCATTGGACAAGAATAGAATTTTAGAATATGTTTAAGGACATGAAGACTGGCCCTTACTGCAGACAGAACTGCTATGAGAGTAACATTTCAGTGGAGAGGCTTTGGAGCCAAGTACTGTATTTGTGCATAAGGATGACGGACGTGGAGAAGCTTCTTTTAGCTGAGGAAATGAAGAGTTGTGTAGGAAACCCTGTTGGAGAGGTTAGGAAACCCTGCTGCGGAGGCTCGTTTCCCTGAATGTCTTCATCCTAGTACCAACCAGTTTCCTCAGAGAACATGAGCGTTAGTGGCTGTGGCAGAGCGCTGTGTGCTGTGTGTGCGGTGCTAGAACCTCGGGAAGGGGTAGCCTGCCAGTATGGCAGCCCCTGTCAAGGAGCACGTATGTTGACAGAACGTTTTTTGGTCTTGTTTTCTCACATAGTATTGTTCCTATTGTTATTTTCAAGTGAATAATGTCTGTTTTCTCATTTTAATTGGCTAGGTACTCTATCTTCAGGGTAACTTCATCTTGAGTTTGACAAAGGAAATTTGGATGGTCTCTGTAATGAAGCCTGAACTGGGTGCATCCCAGATCATAGTGGCTCATCGCATTTACACTGGGCTTCGAGTAGAAATGTCCCCAGATGTGTGAGGAAGGCTACTTATGCTGGCCGTTGTAATGTTACAGGAGGGAGTGAGATGAGACATCCCCTGCCGACAACAGTGGTTCTCTTAACAGTCCTTCAAAGTACAAGGCTCAAAACTCATTGGCTTCACCCCTTGTAGTGACTTTGCTTTTTGAATTTGTCTCCTAAAAAGAGCTGGAGAGTCTAATTGTCAGGGATGCCCATTATAGTTTTTTACAAGGGGAAACTTTCTTTCAAATACTTTTTTAAAAAAATCCAAGTGTTCATATTTCCCCCCAAAGAAACCATTGTGTAAAGCCAAATTCAGTGGGATATTTGCAAACAGTTGTGGAATTGATTAGATGTTCTAATTTTTACAATCACCTGTAAAATACTCTCTTTCTGTTTAGGAGTAAATTTTATATTAAGTTAAATATTGGAATTGATTTGAGTAACAGGTCGAATAAAAGGTACAGCTGATGCTAAACCTCACTGGTACCAGTTCCCAGGAGAGAGTGTGCGGTAACTTTGGTTGGTGTGCTGAGGTGTGGGGTGAATGAAGGGCACCCCCATCTGCAGTGCTCAGCAGTGTGCAATGATTATTAATTTAGCAAGATGCTCCCGAGGCATGAGTGCTTGACTGTTCTCTAGAGTGTCCATTACAAAACACCTTTCTTGTATCCGTATACTTCAGGTGTTGCTCTTAAATTTTCCTCTATTTATTATAACCAAGATGCTATTATTCACATGAAATGTTTGTTCTTTAAATTGAATGTATTGTTCATAACCCACAAATGCTCATATTCTTTGCCTCCTATCTCCATAGTACTGTAATATGAACTTCTTTTGTGAAATACTTTTTATTTTGTTACGCTTTAAATACACATGCAAAAGGGTTCTGTTATTAGCTTCAAAAGTGTACAATATCTTAATATAAATATACAAAAATAAAAGATGAGTACTGTAAATCCGAGTATCTGTAATTTCCTCTCTCTTACCTCCCCAAATCTTTCAAGTTTTACATGGTGCTGAACCTACAGAAACAGCTCTTACGTATTTCCAGAACTTTGCCGTTTTGAAGACGCTTAAAACCTGAGACTCAAGAGTCTCACCACTCTGGAGGCTTGGATTTTATGGTTTGATTTTGAACATGCATTATATTACAAAAAATAATTCACTGATGTCTTCAGTATCTCTCCTTCTGTCATTAAATAAAAGGTATATTAACCTTAAGGAAAGGATATTCACTTTCCTGGTTCGAAACTTTAGAATTTAAGGCGGTGGATTCCATTACCAGTTACTACAGTGGGCTGCTAAGAAAATCACTGATAATTGATACATTTAATGTTCTTTTAGGTGAGGGTCACTGCCAGCAAGGGGTTAGAATATCTTAGGAGGGGGAATGTATTTCATCAGACATTTGTTAATAGGTTCATTTTATAACCCTTGGCCTGTACTAAAGAAACTTTGATTTGATTATGTGAGTGTGGGTGTTCATAATTGTAAAATAATAGTCAGCTAACCACATTATAATATTTAGTGCTAGTTGTAAATTTTATTTCCAATGTCTGTGGATTCATTGGAAGAGACAGTACAAGCATAAATATTTCAAAGTCTAACAAGTCCAGCTGAGGTACCACATGTTCATGTGGCTCATTTTTTAAATCAAAGTAGGTAATAATTTCAAAAGTCCCTCAAATTATCAAGTGAACTTGGGGATGTTCTTTAAACTGATTTACTTGACTTTCTTTTGAGACCATGAAAGCCTGTACCATACCATTTATTTTTGAGCGGCTTACTCATGGGAAATTTCTTCCTAGTTACATTACACACTGACTTTAACATCCACACCGGTACTGACGCCTTTGTTCATTTCAATGCCCAGATCAAATTGTGCATCTTAAGAGGCAAAGGAAAAGGAATATTTTACAGATAGGGTTTGTAGCTCAGGACTTTGACCAGATTATTTTTCATGTCATGGTTATAACCCATAGGAAAGCATTCTTGTCCTAGGCAAAATTCCTCATTTTTCTAACCGTTACTGTCTGTGTAAAATTGAGATTGAAATTCCTAACTGGGTGGACTCACTTTGTCAGGACCCTGTGTAGTATTGCGTGTCACCTGAGTGCTTGATAAATGTGGCCATTATCACATGGGTGAGGAAGGAATGCATGAGCCTCTTGCTAACTGTGGCCATTATCACATGGGTGAGAAAGAAATGTGTGAGCATCTTCTTGGGCCTTAGCAGCATCCTCTGTTCCCTTTTCTCTTTCCCGGCCCCACTGCTTCACTTTTAAATGACCCAATCTTTTCTTTTCAGGAGAATGTCTAATGAGTCCGTTTTCACTATAAAAAGTTGCAAAAAAAAACAAAAAACAAAAAAAAACCTTCTTATGGTGACTTAAGTGTTCTTTTTCAGGAGTACCCAGATGACATGCAGTGTTTTTACTGTCTATCGTAACAGTGGCCAAATGACTCCGCGTGGTACTCACTCTTCCTGGGTGGATCTCAATGTTAGTAAAACAAATCCTTCCTGTTGTCTTAGCGATGTTACTCTTAACACGATGCCTCCTTCATCCTGGTCACTGCAGAATTAATAATTGAGCATTGTGATGCTGAAAATGCAACTGAGCTCTTCCTTGGGACTGCAGCTAAAAGCAGAACAGGCAAGGACCTGGAAAGGAGGCAAGGACTTGAAAAGAATGACAGACAAACTAAACCAGAAGGTTTCACAATGGGTTTCTAGTGTGAAGAGACAAGGCTGGCCTGGAACTCAGTAGCCTCTGTCTACCCCAGGTTCTGGTATTAAAGATATGGGTCACCATGCCTGGCCCTAAGCTTTTCTTTAATTCATTTTCACAAGTTGAAACCTTAGCTGAATGAGGTCACCACTCCCTTTATTTCCTTCTAGCATCAGGTATTTCTTTAATCAGTAATCTCCTTATCTTCTTGAACACAGGATTTAGCCCTGTTATACCTCCTGGTGCTCCCTTTCTCATTAAATTGTATGTTTTTTATTTTTTATGTTTTCATTTTTTTCTTGTTTAACTTGGTCTTTTTCATTATAGATCTACATAAGATAAGACTGGCCAATAATAACCAAATAGTCAATACTAGGCTGTTTTTAGATCTCTTCTGCCAACACTGTTAATCTAAAACTCTTCAATTTAGCATCAGCAGATTTTTCTTGGGGAAAGGACACAGAAAACAGTCATATTCCTCACCAAAATATTACAAGAATGATCTCTAGGTCACTTACTAATATTCTTCTCCTCTGAAACCTCTCGAGCCTCTTCATAATCTACATTGCACTCAGTACCGTTGTCTTCCCTGGTCTTACTAGTATGGCCCATTAAATCCTACTTAAAGTATCCAGTTGCTTTTCTTGTCCAAAATCCCAGACTGTGCCACATTCCTTCAAACAAAAACATGGTCAGGCTTATCACAGCAATATCCTAGCTTTTATTTTAGGATTTCTGTTGCTGTGAAGAGAAACCTTGATCGTGGCAACTCTCATAAAACTCTCCTATTGGCACTGCTTAAAGAAAGGTTCAGAAGTTTAGTCCATTGACATCATGGCAGGAAGCAAAACAGCATGCAGGCAGACATGGTGCTGGTGAATGAGCTAAGATATATATATGTGTATATATATATATATATATGGATCAGTAGGCACAAGGAAGAGAGAGCAACACTAGATCTTTTATATGTTAAAATCCCCTCGTCCCAGGAGAGCCCCTTGCAGCGGTCCCGCCATGCAAAGCAGGTGCAGGCAGGCAGAGACAGGGATAGACACAACATGTAGAGTGAGATTGAAATATTTATTCAGGGGGTTATGGAGGGAAAGGGGGGAGAGAGAGAGAGAGAGAGAGAAGAGAAAGAGGGAAAATGGGGAGACACACGCAACCCCAAGAGAGGACAGTAGGAGAGCGATCCAAGATGGCGGGAGAGGTCAGGGGTTGCCAGGAGTGGGCGTGGCTTGCCCCTTAAAGGGCCAAAAGCATAACAAGACCTAGCTTGGGCATTTGAAATTTCGAAGTCCATTCCCGAGACAAACTTCCAACAAGACCATACCTACTCTAACCAGGCCATACCTACTAACAGTGTCAATCCCTGGTGACCAAGTATTTAAGTCTATGAGCCCATGGAGGTCATTCCTATTTAAAGCCACAGAGGGAAAAGATTCCTAACATCTAAATTTCTTTAAATGCTTAGAAATATTAATTGTATAAATGGTATGAAGAAAATTATAAAATCTTGGAAGATGCAATGCAAATCCAGAGGAGAGATAGGTATTGTTCTTGGATGGGAGACTACTCCGCAATATTACTAATGTGCTGTCAAATCCGTATCTTTAAAAACAATACATTTTTTATCATTTCCCTTCCTTCAACTGCCAAATTCTCACACATCATGGAGTCGATTTTGTGTTGGCAACTACTGGCAGCACGGGCCTAGTTCAAAGTATGGTATTGTGTCAACTTGACACAAGCTGGAGTCAGAGAGGAAGGAGCCTCGGTTAAGAAAATACCTCCATGAGATTCAGCTGTAAGGCATTTTTCAAGGGCCCAGCCCACTGTGGTGGTCCTGGCTTCTATAAGAAAGCAGGATGAGCAAGCGATGGGAAGCAAGCCAGTCTATAACACTGTTCTATTTCCCTTTCCTTGGATAATTCTGTCCTCCCTCTTGGTCCCTTACTAGCTACCTAACTTCTCCACATCTATATCTTTTTATACAGGTAGAATAGAGACTACATTCTTCTGGACAAGTACAAAAGACTAACCTAGAAAATTAAAACAGCAAAAGATTGACCTTGACCTTTCAAGCTTGAGAAGTCACTGTACTAGCTCCTTAGGAGGACGTGGACCAAGAAAGGGTGAATAGTGTTGACACAAAATTAAAAAGCTATACATATACCTAATATCATAGGAACTTCGTATATAATATAGATGGCTTCTATTTGTGGGAAAACCTTTTCTTCATGGTCTGCTAAATAAAAGGTCCTGGTATAACTGACTGCCCACAATATGAAAACAAATGGATTCTTAACTCACCTTAAATGTAAACAGTTGGGGTGATGATGAACATTTAAAATAAGAATAATAAAGGAAAAATATTAGACAATTTAGGAAATGGATAGCTTTGCAAACGAGTAACACATAAGTGACTTTAGGGGACTAAATACAGATAGGGCTAAATACAGTTGCCCATCACTCACATCCACAGAAAAGGACCACAGTAACAGCTGGGGAGCCACATTTTCAGGTGGGTAGCCATGGATGACACAGAAAATGAACAAGAGGCAGACAGGGAACCCTGGAAGATTCAGAGACCCAAGGCCACATCATAGTAAGGAAAAAGTATTCTGTCATCTACCATCTTGTCTCCAGAGAGAGAAAGAGGCAGTCTCCCCTCTGCCAGGGCAACCACGAAGGAAGGAGGCCCATCATACCAGTCCTCACAAACCGGCAGCCCTTCTAGATTAGAAACCTAAAACCTGCACAGTAGCATGACTTGGGGAAAGGGTCTCACATGATCTCCCAGGAACCCAGGAGTCATCAGAACAAAGTGGTTACTCTAGCAGAATAGCAGCCCTATCCTCCCAACTTCCCAAGTCAAACCCCCCACATATTCTGCTCCAGTGACCCTCTGGGCAGTTTCTAGATAAATCCCACATGAACAAGTGTAGTGACAGACTCAAACCCACCAATTGCTCAGCAGTAGAGGGGATAAATGTTGTAACACAGAGATGGTGGACATCTCACAGAAAGGAAATTGGGAGCTTGCTCTCTGAGACCAATGGTAAGACTAGCAGCGTGTGTTTTTGAGCTGGAGTCAGAACTCCAGGGTTTAGGGTGGTTTGCATAGGAATGCTCCTCACAGACTCATAGAATTGAATGCTTAGTCACCAGGGAGTAGCACTATTAGGTGGTATGTCCTTGCTGGATGAAGTGTGTCACTGGTGGTG